AAGTCATCTGGAATGGCAAAGAAAGCGTTCTTGCAGGACTCCCAGAGTTCATCAAGATTCTTTGGGATCTTTTTCAATGCCTCGTCCTTCTTACCCCACACATGCTAAATAATGTTCATCTCTGGTGACTGGGCTGGCCAATCCTGGAGCACCTTGACCTTCTTTGCTTTCAGGAACTTTGATATGGAGGCTGAAGTATGAGAATAAGTGCTATCCTGCTGAAGAATTTGCCCTTTCCTGTGGTTTGTGATGTAATGGGCAGCACAAATGTGTTGATACCTCAGGGTGTTGATGTTGCCATCTACTCTGCAGATCTCTCACATGCCCCCATACTGAATGTAACCCCAAACCATGAGTTTTCCTTCACCAAACTTGACTGATTTCTGTGAGAATCTTGGGTTTATGTTGGTTCCAGTAGGTCTTCTGCAGTATTTGTGATGATTGAGATGCAGTTCAACAGATGATTCATCAGAAAAATCGACCTTCAGCCACTTAAATGATCAACTAGAAGTCAAGATATTATTTGTTGCTCTTACAACGGGGATTCACAACAAGACTTTTGTCAGGTATTGTATATATAAGTGTGGTTAATTTAATTGAAATAAATAACCCAAAAATTCAGTGCTTTTTATATTTATTCATTTGTTTGGTCATTTTTTCTAATGCACATATAAACTATTCAATATGCACACAAAAAAAGCAAGATTAATGAAAATCTAACTCTTTTTTTTTTCTGACCGCCAACTGTGGTAAACAGTGATGATACTGTTGGTTAATGATGGTTTATGTCAGACATTGTCTCTTTAAACACCAGTAGATTAATGCTTTCGCAACATCCTGTTCTCTCCTCTGTCTCTCTTCTTACCATTTTCTATTTTTAGATGAGCTTTTAAATGAAATCTGGCACCTGGTTTGACTTTGAACATTGGTCCACCTAATTTTTTTGTGATTCCCTCCCTTCTAGAAGTGTCCTGAAACATTCTGAATTATGCAATTCTGCTCTTTTTAGAAAAAGGCCCATTTAATATCTCAAACCCACTTAATGTACCATGTGGCATATTTAACTGTGCATGAGGACATGAGAATGTTTAGAAAATGTGAAATATTGACTTTAAAAAAATGCTGGGTTTACTGTAAAACTAGAGCAGTGTGATTTAATTACATGAAATGAGCTCCTTTGACTTACATTATTTAATGAAAGCTCATTGACCTTAAAAGAAACAAGTTACATCAACTCAAATTTTGACTGCATTAGACTGAACTTAAACCGAATGAGTTAACCTAACCATGCAGATATGTACCATGCTTTGTGTCAGACTGGAAAATAAATGTTGAACAATAAGTGTTATGTGTAATCTTTGAACACAATTAACATGATTAGACTTGTGTGTTATGTTGAAAATTACAGAAGTTTCTCTTGTTAAAATAAACTGTAAAACACAAAAAGTGAAAGTAACTCAATCCATTTGAGGAAAAAGATTGCAACAAACCATTTAAGTTCAAAAACAACTTTCCTCAAATGGTTTGAGTTGCTTTAACTTATTGGGTTTTACAGTACTCAGTTGGTTTAAGTTCTCTTCATTTATTGGGTTTTACTGTGCTCAAATTGCTTCATTTACTAAATGGATTAAGTTCACAGTACTCATTAGGATTAGTTTTTGAACTTAAATGGTTTGAGTTACCTTAACTTTTTGGGTTTTACAGTGCACCATTGTGAACTTCATCCATTTGAGTAAATAAAGCAATTTGAGCAAAGTAAAACCCAATAAATATAGAGAACTCAAACCAACTGAGTACAAAAAACCCAGTAAATTAAGTCAACTCAAACCATTTGAGGAAACTGATTGCAACAAACCATTTGAGTTTAAAAAAAATAATGTATATGAGTACTGTGAGCTTACTCATTACCTTCAACACTGAGTTTAAAACATTTTCCAAATGACTAGAGTCAATGTTTAGTAAATTTTGAGTTAACTACACTCATTTAATTTGATAAAGCTGACTGTTGGGTTTTACAGTGTAGCAAAACAGTTAAAGCAGCTCAATAAAGCTGAAAACACTCAAATTAATGAAAGGGCAGCCCAGAGTCCTGATGTAAACCTGATTGAGAACCTCTAGAAAGTTTGTGGCAATGACTGAGAAACAAACAGTGAGAGAACTGCACTGTAAAAGCCAAAAAGTGAAGTTAACTCAAACCATTTAAGGAAACCGATTGCAACAAACCGTTTAGGTTCAAAAACTAATCCTAATGAGTACTGTGAACTTAACCCATTTGAGTAAACAATTTGAGCACAGTAAAACTAAAAGTAAAAAAAAAAGTGGCAGAAGGTCGATTTTTCTGATGAATTATCCGTTGAACTGCATCCCAATCATCACAAATACTGCAGAAGACCTACTGGAACCAACATAAACCCAAGATTCTCACAGAAATCAGTCAAGTTTGGTGAAGAAAAAATCATGGTTTGGGGTTTCAAGACATTTGTGCTGCCCATTACATTACAAACCACAGGAAAGGGCAAATTCTTCAGCAGGATAGCGCTCCTTCTTATACTTCAGCCTCCATATCAAAGTTCCTGAAGGCAAAGAAGGTCAAGGTGCTCCAGGATTGGCCAGCCCAGTCACCAGACATGAACATTATTGAGCATGCCTGGGGTAAGATGATGGAGGAGGCATTAAAGATGAATCCAAAGAATCTTGATGAACTATGTGAGTCCTCCAAGATCACTTTCTTTGCCATTCCAGATGACTTTATTAATAAGTGATTTGAGTCATTGCAGAGATGTATGGATGCAGTCCTCCACGTTAATGGGAGTCATACACAATATTCATTCTTTTTCCACTGCAGCATGACTTTATATTCTATACTGTACATTATTTCTGTTAAGTGACAATACTTTTGTCTAAGCAAAGTCAGACCTTACTGTCCTAATTAAATATTTAAAAATCAAGACATGATCATATTTTATTTAGGCAAAATAAGCGTAATCTAGAGGTCTTTGCTTTATATAAGCCACTTCTGATACCAAGTGATCAATTAGAAATCAAGTTAGTATTTGTTGTTCCTAAAACTTTTTTTTACAGTGTATACCAATTAACACATATACAACACTCTAAAAATGTTAAGATGTTTTAACCTAACACTTTTTAACCCAATGATTAAAAAGCCAACGATAACACGTTTTAACCCGATGGTGGATTTGTTCACAATCAACCCAACGATAGGTTACAACAACCCAGTCTTTTTGTGTTATATTACTGTTCAACTTGAAATAAAAGTTGAACACTGGTTGTTCCTGGATCATTGTATTCATTTTTTTCTTTTTGTGCTCCTGGTTGTCCAGCTGGCTCCGCAGCAGAGGGGATTATCTGTGTCTGTCCTCTCACACTCATTCATCTCATTATTACAGTCCATTATGTTCTGAGCCAGCGAGGCCGAGTCTGAATGCATTTCCATTTACGGATTAGTGGTTGCTCCTCGGATGCTGACCTGAGACAGAAGTTTATGAGGAGCAAAATATGAGGACAGGTCTTCATGTAAAACTCACTGCATGCACTGAAAACTGGAGGAAGATCTGAGGATCTCAGTTAATAAACTTGCTTGCTTTTACAACACAATACTTACAAGTGTGTCTGTCATAAACAAGTGTGTCTGTCATAAAGATTGCATATTCACTAGATGGTAACAAAAAGACAGACAGATAGATAGATAGATAGATAGATAGATAGATAGATAGATAGATAGATAGACAGACAGACAGACAGACAGACAGACAGACAGACAAATGATAGATAGATAGATAGATAGATAGATAGATAGACAGACAGACAGACAGACAGACAGACAGACAAATGATAGATAGATAGATAGATAGATAGATAGATAGATAGATAGATAGATAGATAGATAGATAGATAGATAGATAGATAGATTTTCACGCACAATCATCTCTAGGGTTTACAGAGAATGGTCGAAGAAGAGAAATATCCAGTGAGCGGCAGTTCTGTGGGTGCAAATGCCTTGTTGATGCCTGAGCTTAGATGAGAATGGCCAGACTGGTTCACGCTGATGGAAAGCTAAAAATAACCACTTGTTTACAACCGAGGTATGCAGAAGAGGATCTCTGAACACACAACACGTTCAACCTTGAGGCGGATGGGCTACAGCAGCAGAAGACCACACTGGGTGCCACTCCTGTCAGCTAAGAACAGGAAACTGAGGCTACAGTTCGCACAGGCTCACCAAAACTGGACAATAGAAGATTGGAAAAACGTTGCCTGCTCTGATGAGTATTGATTTATGCTGCGACAATCAGTCATCTCAGACTGGTTTCTTGTACATGACAATGAGTCCACTGTACTCAAATGGCCTCCACAGTCACAGTTCTCAATCCAATAGAGCACCTTTGAGATCTGGTGGAACTAGAGATTCACGTGCGTGATGCTGTCATTTCAATATGGATCACAATCTCTGAGGAATATTTCTAGTACCTTGTTGAATCTATGCCACGAAGGATTAAGGCAGTTCGGAAGGCAAAGGGGGTCCAACCTGGTACTAGTAAGCTGTACCTAAAAAAGTGGCCGGTGAGTGTAAGATAGATAGATAGAAAGATAGAAAGATAGATAGATAGATAGATAGATAGATAGATAGATAGATAGATAGATAGATAGATAGATAGATAGATAGATAGATAGATAGATAAATAGATAGATAAATAGATAGATAGATCGCATATACATTCAATATTTTTTACAGAGAAGGTGGGCTTTTACTATCTTTGTAGGGACATATTTTCCCAAAGCACAATTGATGTAAAAATATCTTTATTGTTGTAATAAAAAAATACAAATATGTTATTAATTATATGATTAGTCAATGTTGATCTGCCGTTGATTACGCTGAGCGTGCAGGTCACGTGAATCACTGCGTATCTAATTAGCGCCGATTGTAAACAACTAGCGTTACGATCTGACTAGCAGTCTAGAGACACCATTTGTGTTAACTCACTCTTGTCAGTTTAACGGTTTAAAATCCCCGCGACCGGTTACTCGACGGTTACACACTAGCGAATGTAAGTATATCAAAATAATACGTTGATTTGTTTTACATTATGATAAATTAACATGTTAACTTTAATAATAACCTTAAGTAATCTTGAAAATATGCATCGTTTACTGAACCATATAACGTATATAATGTCAACTTAGCTACATGTGAAGTTACGCCAGTAGTAACGTTAGTATCATGAAATTGTTTAAGCTTTTGGACTAACGTTAACCTTTGTCTACTAACGTTATAAGTAATTTAGTTTATAGAAAAGTATTATCTCATACAATTACTGCAATATTGAAACGTTATGTTTTGGTGAAATGACGCAGGTTAATTGTCATTTTAAGGTGTGTGTGTGTGTGTGTGTGTGTGTGTGTGTGTGTGTGTGTGCGTGCGTGTGTGTGTGTGTGTGTGTGTGGTGTTTACCATATATAGTGTATCTGTCATGTTGAAGTGTAATGTATTGTGTGTATTATATTTTCAGGTGATGGCTCAGCACTTTTTTGGAAGTTCAGGCTCCATGACATTGCAGTCAACACCCAAATCTGCTCTTCACCATACATCAGCAAAGGTACATATGATGATTATATTAATTGTCATATGTCTGATAATGGTCTAGTAATTCGACTTTAAAAGTATATTTTTTGTTCCATCCAGGTGCCAGATGATGGTCTAAACTCAACTGGTGGAACTCTGTCGTTTGTAACTCTGGATGACAGCAGTGATCTGCAAAAGTGAGCAAATAACACTGAACATAATCCAGTTTGGTACAGATATACACATAAAAAAATTTGTTTAATAGACATTTAAATGTAGACAGCTTGGCTAAAACAAAGCTAGTCATTCATTCCTGTTTATTTGATGACTAGTCTAGTTTTGGCCTATTCTTAGACGTCTATTAAATTTAAATTAAAGCCAAGACGACTATGTTTAGATGTCTATTAGACATCTGTTAGAAATCTTTTAAAAACATAAAATGCTTGCTGGGAATTTTGAGTTTAATAGACGTCTATTAGACATTTAAACATAGGCAGTTTTGCTAAAACAAGGGCAAACTTGGGCTGTCAGTGAAAATCTAATAGACTTTAAAGAATAGCCCAAAACTAGACTTGTCGTCGCATGGACAGATTTGACAGACTTCATATGTGTAGACATTCATTCCTGTTTATTTGATGACTAGTCTATTCTTAGACATCAATTAGATTTTCACTGACAGCCCAAGTTTAGCCTTGTTTTAGCCAAGATAACTATGTTCAAACGTCGATTAGACATCTTTTAAAAACCAAAAGTGCTTGCTGGGTATATATATATATATATATATATATATATATATATATATATATATATATATATATATATATATATATATATATAATTTTTTTTTTTTTTTTTTTTTTGGGGGGGGTTATACTATAAATTTAACCATTTCGTTTCTTGTGTCAGTGATGATTCAGGAATTGGTGTTTCAAAAACTTCATCTAGAAGTTCACCAGCCAACAATACAGCGGAAGATGTTGCCATATTGCCTCCAAACAATTCACCAATAGATGAGATTGGAAAGAAAGCACATGACCTTATTGAGAGAATCAATGAGAGACGAGCCTTGGACCAACATGTGATGACCAGCTTTGAGGAACAACTCATTAAAAAGGTACATCCCACTACCATTAAGCCACGGGAAAAAAAAAACGGATGAAAAACACAGGCAGATTAGTAAAACGTGTTTAACTGCACATTGAATTGTGCAATATGGATGAAATAAAACCTATACATATCAAAATCTAAATAAATCGTGTAATTCAATTATAATTGGGTATAAAACAGGTTTTTATTAATCCGATAAAAATTGAAATGCTTCAGAGTACATTATTATTCGATTTTCTTTTCATCTGTACACTTTTATCTATCCAGTTCAATCTGTATGGCAAATATTCATTAAGCTGATGAATATCTTTTGCAAATTTCCCCACCGTCCATGTGCTATAGGTGAATTGAATAAACTAAATTGGCCATAGTTTATGAGTGTGAATGACTCTGTATGGATGTTACCCAGTACTGGGTTGCAGCTGGAAGGGCATCCACTGTGTAAAACATATGCTGGATAAGTTGGCGTTTCATTCTGCTGTAGCGACCCCTGATGAATAAAGGGACTAAGCTGTAGGAAAATTATTAATTGAAGGTAACTTTTTGAGGTCTTTGATGAGGGTTCTTGAGGTTGACAGAACTTTTAACAAACATTTTGCAATAACTTATTATCCAAAGTAATATATTTAAAGCCCCCCTGAAATGAAAAGTCCTAAGGATATCTATAATCTAGTGTGTTCCATACCTTTTGGTACTTAAGATATTTAAAAGTGGAGAAAATTCTCTCTGCATTTCTCCTTCTCCAGCAACTATCACAACATGTCATGACAATATTTATTAATTGTTAAATAATGGCACAAATACCAGGAAACAAACCTTCACAAACCTTAGTAAATCACAAACTCATGATTATTTAAATAGAAAGTTCACCAAAAAATTTAAGTTATTTATTCATCCTTCACTTGTTCTAAACGTGTTTGAGTTTCTTTCTTCTGTTGAACACAAATGAAGATATATTGAAGAATGTTGGATAAAACGGCCCTTGATTTCCTTATTTTTGTTCCTACACTTAATATCAATGGTTATGGTTTCTTACAATCTTCCGAACATCTTGTGTTCAACAGAAATGCAAAGTTTTAAAACATTTTTGGGGGGGGGGGGGGGGGGGGTGAAATCACTTTAAATGTATAATGTGTGCAATGCAAACCAGGCGCATAAGTAATTCTTAATGCTTTTAATTGCTTCATTTTTACTGTTTTTTTGTTTTGTTTTGTTTCAACAGTTATTTTACTGCGTTTTTAACCATGAAAGTAGATTGTTTTGGCAGTTATTAAATCTGGATCTTAGATATTTTAAAGGGTTTAGTTCACCCAAAAATAAAATTTAAGTTCTTCAATACTGAGCCTCATGTTGTTCCAAACTATTCTGATCGAATGAAGATGTTTTTGTTGAGTGTATGAGCTTCCTCATCCTCCATAGACAGAAAGGTTCCAGACACCTAGAATAATGCAAAATACAAAAAATACAAAACCATCCTCAACACAGGCCATGTGTTTTCAGCAGGTCAGTCAGGTAATTATTAAGTTACCCAAATATTTTTGTGCGCACAAAAAAATGACTTCATTTAGCAGTGTCAGTATAGGGTGCACAACAGTATTCCTGTTAGGGATGGCTGATGTGAAACTGACATTTTGACAGTGTCGAGATCCCGAAGCGCAAGTGTTTCAAAACACTGCACCGAAGCATGATCCAAAACATCCAGGTCACGTGACTGAATTCATTCATGTTTATTTCTATAGCGCTTTTACAATGTAGATTGTGTCAAAGCAGCTTAACATAGAAGTTCTAGTAAATTGAAACTGTGTCAGTCCAGTTTTTAGAGTTGAGGTTTAGTTTAGCTCAGTTCAGTGCGAGTTAATTTTCAGTTTCAAAAAAGTTTTCAAAAGTCAAAACTAGGCTGGTATAAGACTCGGATGGTATGAAAACATTGGATAAAAATATCACAGTTTCACTGTGATTACTACTCTAAAATGTTCTTTTTAAATGTCTGAGACAAAAAAACAACTTTCCTATTGATCACAATATATTTTATTTAAAAAACAACATTTAATATATTTAACATATTTTGGAGTAGTAAACATGTCAGGTTAAATAATTAAAACCAACCATTGACTTCAGCTATCTTAGTTTCAAAAACAAATTGAAAAGGCATATTTGGATATCTTTCTTTTGTTTGAATAGATATGAATAAAGCCACTGCACTCTTCAGGTCTACTGCATGTTTATTTTGCTTTATAAGCGATTTGTTTTTCAGATGTTTCCTGAATAGTGGGCTGTACAGCAGCTTTTTTAGTGGAGGGTTTATTTCTGCTGGTGATAGTCATAAAAACTTTAAAAAAAATAAAAATAAAAAAAACTTACATATGCCCAAGGAATGATATGACATAAAAATTTAACTTTTAATACAATGACTTTTCCAAACAGCGGTAAACCTTGAAACTGCTTTTAGTCCCATGCCAAGTCCAAACACTGATGAGCAAATCCATCGATGCGCAGCTCCACAAGTCCCAAACCCAGCAAGCCAGTGGCGAGGAACAAACTTCACCAATTAACGAAAGTGAAGGAAAAAAACCTTGAGAGACCAGGCTCAGTTGGGCACGACCATTTCTCCTCTGGCCAAACGTCCTGTGCAGAGCTGCTGTCTAGGCGCCGGAGTGATTCAAAACACTTAGGTCACATGACCAAGTGATTCAAAGGGTCATTTCAGAAGCATTTCGAGACCTGGCCAATCTGCGTTTGACTGACAGGGTCAGAAAAAAAGTCTTTCTTATGTAGCCTAGTGGACTGTGGCCAATTGCAGCACAGTTACACTTTGTACAGGCAGAGTTCAAATCCCGACTTATCCAAATACTCTGAAATTATGACTTAATGTATTTTAATAATGTTACTTTTATGACCAAAACAATACACATTTATTCACAAAGTGTTTATTCGGATGTCAGACCAAATGTTAAAACAACATATGTTACAAGAACAGAGCATTTCAAAACTACAGTAATGCCTATAGCTGCATACCCCTTTCTGCATGCTAGTCATCAACCATAACCACCCCACTAAATCACTTGAAACTAACATTGGGCTTAATACCTCAATTTGCTTAACTGTGTCTTTGCTGAAGCTGTACCAGAGCAATACATAAAAAAATGACCACTAGGTGTCACTGTAGAGGCGGGTTTCAACACGTTTGCTTCGACTATTTCAGTGTTTCATGAAGCCTTGCTTTGCCCACCACTAATTCCTGTAGCTTGGTAATACTCCGACTGAACCACTGAACTCATAATAGTCGGTTTTGAGGATGTTTTTTGGGTATTTTTCTGAACAAATCCTGACCACTTCTCTCAATGGAGGATAAGGGAGCTCTCTGATGTCATTTAAAACATCAGGGGTTTAGAACCACACAAGGGTTTGTAATGGATAACAGAATTCAAATTTTTGGGTGAGCTACCACTCTTCCCCCACCCCCCATTGGAGCATCAGGTAAAATTGAATTGTGTCCGTGCAGGTGACCGAGATGTGTCAGCAGGTGAAGGATCAGATGTTTAAGTATTATGAAGAGCACAGTCAGGGCATAGAGAGCAGCATCACTGAGCTGTCGGAGGTGCTAGAGAGAAGCAGTCAGCTGAGTATGGAGCTTCAGGGAGCCAGTCAAACCCTGGCCATCATCAATAAAGGCCTGCAGCACGGCACAGAGCAGTAGACAGGGTACACTCCTTTCATTTCTGAGTAACTTTATGACAGAGATGGCACCTTGTTCGATTAATGCCATTTAACTTGAGTAACTTTTAATGGTTAATAATTAAATGTGTTTTCTTACATTAGTATGTTAAAGAATGTTTGTATGCATGTGCTAAATATTTCTTTTACAACATTACAAGGTTTATCTGAAGGCTTTTTAACTATCATTCCTGCAATTGTGTTTGGGTATTATTTGTTATTCAATACCTAAGGTTTGAGCTTCCTCAACTGTAGTTATTGAAAACTCATTCAATTGGTTGACAATTCTCTTTATGGTGCTCTCAGTTCCCAAATAAGCTGCTCTAGATAAATATAAATGGCAAGATATGATGACACCATTATAAAATGAGGATTTCATAACAGCCCTGGAACCTTTTGGTGCCATCCATGTAACGAAAAGCAAAGCGGAAACTGTTTAGAGTCTTTTACATTTTATTCACCTGCAGTAAATGTTTGTTGAAAACAGACTAAACACTTTTGTTGTGTTTTTTTATAATAAACCATTTTAAGGCTGCACAATATCGGCATAATTAGACATTGCAATATTTTTTTTCTATGAATTTTACCAGATGGATTAAATACCTCTGTTCGGACAATTCATTTAGATTGATTGGGATGTTTATGTAGTGGAGTGAATCAAGTTATACAATATATATTTTTTTAATTTACAAGCATTTATAAATGCAATAAAGCAAAGAAAAACAATGAAATAAACAGCGCTTTATTGTTTTTGGTGGACTCTTAACAGTATTCAGGTACTGAAATTGAATTAAATGTAAAATAAAACTTTTACTGAGTAAGTTTACATGGACGCCAATACTCCGATTTGAATATGATTAAGACAATACTCTGATTAAGAGTCTACAGCAGGGAGCACACCAGAAGCGCCGCTCGGCGGCGTGCCACGCAGCACCATGCATTTTAGAGCTCTAAACAAGTCGGCGGCTTCCAGCCACCAGGACACCGTTCATATTTCTGCCGCGCCACCTGATTAGATTAATTTTAAATAACATGCAAAAGTGCGCGTCTGGTGTGTGATACTTTAAACTGTCATGTGCGCGCCGTGTCGCAGCGCTGAGCGGCGCATTCGATGTGTGATGCCCTTACCATGTAAACAGCGATTTTGATTACCTTAAAAGAAGGACTACAGGCACCCGCATCACGAAATGCAGAGGTTTTTTTTCTCCTTTCCATTCGGCGTACGGTATCAAATTGCACTAAAACAACACCCTTCCACCAGTCCTTAATTCATATTCTCATCCAATACCTCAGTTTGTCATGGGGCATGAACAATATGTTCTCGAATGAAAGTGAAACAGCCGAACTGCAGTTAAACTGGACAAATTAAAAATGAAGCACCTAAAATTACATGAAACTCCAGAGGAAATGTGAATAGACTGGTGACGCAATCGATCTATGTACTATAACATGTAAAACAAGATCATAAAAGGAGCATTCAATAAGCAACTCAAGTAAAGACCTTAATCATATTAATGTCTTATTCAGATTAAGGCAAATAATATGATTACTGATGTCCATGTCACAAGCCCCAACCCTAGAAATAAGGTGTTCCCTGAATTTAACAACAGCGTTCCACAGGTTAGTGTAGTGTAGTGTTAGTGTAGGCTAATGTCATGTTAATTGCATATTGCAAATTATAAATTCATGCTAACAAATAAATGATCAAAAGAAATATATAAATGTAATTCAACTCAAATATGTAAAATATGAATTGATGTTTAATTTAAACTTGAATTATATTGTTCAATTAAAATAATTAACTTTTTTTTGTCAAATAAAAGATTTTTCTACAGTCATGCACCATAATTTTGTGGCTCAAAAGTATTGGTTCAAGCACCGTCTTGGCAATGGTACCATTTTAAAAGTATCAATCTAGCACCAGTATCGAAATAACCCCAAACAATACCCCACCCTAGTTAAACTATACTATTGCATTTTCTTCTTTGTATAAGGGGGCTGCATAATTTCATAATTCAAATCTTAAATTCATGCTAACCAACAAATGATTAAAGGAAATATATTAATGTAGTTCAAATATTTACAATATAAATTGATGTTTACTTTAAACTTAAATTATATTGTTCTATCAAAATTATTTTAAAAAAGATTTTATCAAATAAAAGATTTTTCTAGAGTCATCCAAAATAATTTTGTGGCTAATCGCTTTGGCACCGGTACCGTTTTAAAAGTATCGATTTAGCACCGGTATCGAAATAACCCCAAACAATACCCAACCCTAATGACAATTTTATTGGATTCTTCATTAAAGTAAAAATGCTACAATTTCTTGTGCCTTAATGCTTTAAACTCTCTTAAAATCTTCATGCAATAACACAGGCAAATGACAAACTTTCACTCAATTACATTTAAAAATGACTCCACAGATCTCGTGTTATGAACTGTAGTGCTAATCAACTGTAATCCCAACTCAATATCGCACATCCCGCGATATGACTATTACATATATCAATGCTGAAACAATATATTGTGCAGCCTTAGCTCCACTGTACAAACAAAAACATGCACTTTCATTATTGTGACCTTTTGGTGCATTTATTTACAAATCTAAGTGCTGCGATCTAGTTAGAACATAGAAAAATAGTTCTCTGATAATGATTACATAAATTACAGACATTCAAAAAGGACATACTTTAGATAAAATACTGCTCTAAACCGTTTGTTTTCACCTTTCAAGTAATTTGTGATGGTAAATGATGCAAACTGAAAAAAAGCACTCTGCATGTACATGGGTTATAGCAGCAGCAGCTCATTTGTCCACCGTGAAGGACTGTAGTCCAGTGATGGCTCTGCCCAGGATCAGAGCATGGATGTCATGGGTTCCTGCAAAACATAAACACAGAGATGTAACTGAGCAGCTCTCAATTTTTATTCAGTTCAATGTAAGCTCATTATAAAGTCAGGTTTTATATCATGTCTCCCACCATTTTTTTAAATATACCAAAGTATTATGAACAGATGATATGTTGTTACTTAATATGCAAAACTAAACACACAGCAAATGTTTTGTGTGTTATCCAAACATAGTAAGGTGGGATAAGTTAAGGTAAACTTTTTGTCCCATATGAGGGAGATTTGGGCGACGCAGTGGCGCAGTAGTTAGTGCTGTTGCCTCACAGCAAGAAGGTCGCTGGTTCGAGCCTCGGCTCAGTTGGCATTTCTGTGTGGAGTTTTGCATGTTCTCCCTGCGTTCACGCTGATTTCCTCCGGTATCCCCCACAGTCCAAAGACATGCGGTACAGATAAATTGGGTAGGCTAAATTGTCCGTAGTGTATAAGTGTGTGTGTAAAAACGATCTGGATAAGTTGGCGGTCCATTCCGCTGTGGCGACCCCGGATATAAATAAAGGAGCTAAGCCGACAAGAAAATGAATGAATGAGGGAGATTTGTTTTGGGCCCATCACCCATGCATGCAATCGTCACAATTAATCTAAAGTTCACAACAGCACACAACTACAAAAAAGATGCATATTTACACACATTCACACACATAGATTAAAAAATTTAATTGTTGAGGTTTATAGTAACTGTTAATACTTTTGTTTTCCATCCATTTTTAAAAATTATTCTGAATACTGATCAATTGAAAAAAGTTGTGGAGTGAGGGAAAATGAATAATATACACATGCGAAATGTGAAACATCATAGCTTGCATTGTTTTCAGAATATGCGACATGATCATCTTCTCGGTTCTTTCCTGAACGCAGTATTAACATGAAAAATGACTCCTTGAGCATTTACTGTATATAGTTTATAGTGATAGTATAACTGTCTATAGTAAGTTTTATACTTGTTTTTTTCTCATTCCTTTCTAACTATTTAATTTAGAAATTTGTTGTGGGGTGAGGGGAAACTAAAATACATAATGTTAGCAACACCATAGTTTACATTTACAGAAATAATTCTTTACTCAACAATGCAGTTTTGACATGGTGCTACCGTGCTAGAGTTAATGTAAACTATGCATCTGAAATTACTAAATTTCCTTGAAAGATTAAGTTAAATCAGGGCAGACTTCCACTCAAACTCAACACTATTAAACAGCTTTACAAAAAATATGTATATCTGCAACGAGGGACTCTAAACCTTTCCCCTGAAGGCAACAGTTCCATCTTCCATATGCCATCTTCCTCATGCCATTTTAGCTCCTCTTTAGAGTAGCTTTTTCATAAATAGTTTGCAATGAAATCTGTTCTTTTTCCTCAACCGTAGACATATTAGCTAAAATTAGGCTAAATATAAATCAATTAGAAATAAATGACTAAACAAATGCAGTCACTTTAATATCTATTTGATGACTAGACTGGTCTATCTATTGTTTAGACGGTTAGACAACAGCGTTAGATTAGATTAGATTTACTTTAGATTAGATTTAGCCTCAAATTTAACCTTGTTTAAGCCATGTTTGGATGTCTATTAGAGGTATTTTTTAAACAGAATGTCTAGGTGGGCAAGTAAATGTAATAGTCATACATCTACAAGTCCAATGCTGTGGTTCTATTCCAAATCTAAATTCCAAAGCAACTGCTAATAGTGCAGTTAATGTAAAGGAAGCAAAAAAACTTGCAAAGCGTACACATATTTGGATTGGTGATGAGTGAATTAGGTGAGAATTTATGTAGTGCATTTGTATAGCATCCAGATACAGTTTCACTTTACATTATTGAGGCCTATAGCAATTGTATATACTGAGTTTTATACTCGTTTTTTTCCACTATTCCTTTTTTTTAAATTCTGAATGCCGTTCAATTTAGAAAACTAAAATACACATAATTTCTGCCAAAATTTTTGCATCATTTTACATTATTTTAAGAATGTAAATTATAAAATGTATATGCAAATTTTAACCCCCCCTCAATAATACGGATTTAAATATAAATATTGATTCTTTTAGATAGATAAAAAAAAAAAAAAAAATGAGCAATATCACACGAGTAGCAGTGCAATATGGCTGTGTATCGGCACTGGTGGGAAGCATGCGTTGGATGCAGGAGCCCCCACCAGTGCCGATACACAGCCATATCGCACTGCTACGAGTGTGATATTGCGTTTATACAACAGTTTGACGGCATAATTGTGCATATAAAAACAAAATTAAACACGGAAAGTTTCAAAAACCCTTTTGTATGTGGAACTACTTTCTTCCACATTGGATTCAAATCATAAGCTGACAGTTAAACAGTTGAGCGTGCATCTTTTAAACTTTAGATCTGTAGTGTCTGCTTTTTGCTGGCTGTATGTGGGCGGAGTAATACACAAAGGGTAAAGAGGTTGTAGGAGTTCTGATATTGCAGAATATCGCACGGTTATCAGCCAATCAGATTTGAGAACCAGACAGAACTGTTGTATAAATATATATATATAAATATATATATATATATATATATATATATATATATATATATATATATATATATATATATATATATATACTTTCAGAAAATGTTAATTAGCATTTAATTTTGCACTGATAAGCAGCTACCTTTATGCTGACTAATAATTTATGCCAGTATTTATAGTTTTTATTTTGGTTTGAAGGGCTATGAAACACTACTACATTTTTGAAGTGTGTTGCACTACATAGAAGCCCTTCCATTCATTTTAAATGTAAGAGAAAACAGATATGTTCCCGTTTAATGCATCCAACTAGAAATAACATCAGAAGTGCTCCAATGCGAGCTTTCCCATGTCCTCCAAAAATACCCCCAAATCCCTATCACTTTCCTGAAAGCTCAAAGCATTACAAAACTCTGGCCTGCGCGTTGACCTGGAAGATCAGATCAGGGATTGTTTTCTCAGTAAAGCCTGATCTCGTCGCTCTCTCTCTGACCTTCATAAGTGTTGACGGCCTCCAGGTTCAAGACGTGACGGATGATGTGGTACTCGTCTGCGATGCCGTTTCCTCCCAGCATGTCTCGGGCCTGTCTGGCGATGTCCAGGGCTTTACCGCAAGAGTTTCTCTTTAGCAGCGATATCATTTCCGGAGCCGCTCTGAGAATTTGATGCAGAAAGTCAAGAGTTAGACTAGTTTTTATACTGTAATTACGTTACTTTTAGTCATTTAGCAGAACTTAAGTGACAAACAAAGTGGAAGACAAGTGATTCATCATAAGATGACAAGATCAAATACAGTGGGGAAAATAAATATTGAACACGTCACCGTTTTTCACGGAAAACATATTTCTAAAGGTGCCGTTAACTTCCCCACTGTATAAAGCAAGAGAATAGTACAAGCTGCCACAAAATGTCCTAACTACACCGCGACGTGATAAAAGGTATCTTTTTCACGTTACGAGTTTTTGTCCTATACATCTTGTTACATCCAAACAACATTTCTATTTTAGCATCATGGCAAAACAACAGCATAAACTACTATGACAATGATCACCTCAGGTACTGATTATGTGCTTTATACGGTGCAAGAAGCTACTAATGTGAGTTTGAGCACCATTTTACGTTACACTTATTGCTGTACTACTGAAGCAGCAGCAGATAGTTCACCTCACACCTTGAAAATTAAATACTACCACAAGGTATCTTTTTTAATGTTACGAGTTTTTATCCTAACCATTTGCGACAGCATCAGGCAAAATTTCTATTTTGCAAAGAGTTTTTACTTCTGTGGCATTGTGGCAAAACAACAGCATAAACCACTACAACAATGATCACCTCAGGTACAGATTATGTGCTTTATTCAGTGCTAAATGCTACTAATGTGAGTTTAAACACAATTTTACATGACTTTTATTGGCAAACTACTGAAAGCAGCAGCAGATAGTTCACCTCAGGGGTCTGTTCTTTGTACATGGATTACTCAGTTAGCTGGATTTGGATACTGATGATTTGACACGATCCAGGATCGTTTCGTTCTTCAAAGCTGATCCGAGAATTGTTGTCATAGCAACAGTTCTGCTAGGTCAAACCTGATCGGGAGCAGGTTCATTTCATATAAACAGGATTAGATCGGCTCAGTTCAAGCAAAGATAATACAGAAAGTATGTTCCGAATTCTGATATTTTCTTACAGTAGTAGTTATATACACTTGGGAAAATGGTGAATATTTTTTAACTATATATATATATATATATATATATATAAAGTTATAGTCATTAATAAAATAAATAAAGTTATACATATTATTAAAACTTATGCAATCTGCACCCTCGAAATGAAAGTACAAAGACTGCCACCTGGCGGTGCAAAGAGAAAACTTATTGATGTGAATTTTTTAGATCGATTTAGTACAAATTGTGTATAATAGAAATGCACAATATGTGACTTTTTTAAAAACAATAATACATTTATGCAGTCATAAACATGTTTTGATAGTTAATATGCCGGTGATTTGATGCTTCACAAAAGTTGCAGATGCCTTTACCAATATCAAAATGCTTTTGTAAACATCTAGTTATTCTTTACACAGATAAAAAAAAACGGCTACTATAATAAAGAAAATCTTTTCTAAATGTAGAACTAAATACATTGATTTGCATTGAAATACATGATGAATACACTTGACAGCTCATAACAAATGTGGAAGGTTATTGCGTGTCATATTTAACAAACCGTTACTGCTAATTTGATGTAATTTTGCTCACATGGATAATTGAATATTAATCAGATGATGTCATTACGCTGCTGTGCCGTCAGCCAATCGTTGCATTGTTGATCATGATTTCGAGGATCGATAGATTTGTCCTTCACAAACACACGCAGCGATCTCAGATCAGTTTATCCAGACATTCTAATCTGATTCACGAACTTGTTTGAAGAACCAAATTAGCGAGAGATCAGTTATCGAGATGAAAAGATCCAGTATCTGCCAAATCATCTTAGATCATTTAAGCGAGGTATGAAGAACGGACCCCAGATCTAGAAAATTAAATAACAAGCAAACAGATTGAAAATGAAAGTCAGTGACTCCGTGGAAACCAACAACATCAGTCACTCATGTATTTTACTAATGGCTAATAGGTTAAATATGTATTAACTAGATTATAACCCTTAGCGTTTTGTCTGAAGTGCAATGGCTGATATTTAAATGAATGGCTGGTATTTAAATGTTTTAGTCATGTCGCATTTGGTGCAGACAGCCAAATAGCTTGTTGCTGGAATCTTGTTGTGTCACATGTAATCAGGACAGTGTTAGAGGCTTCAACATTTGACCACTTTTACTGTTTTTCTTACATTTTAACTAGGCCTGTCGCAATTTATCAAATAACAATCTAATAACTACAGTCGTTTAAGATGCTGCAATTCCTTTAATAGCCACAAGGGAAGACAAAAAAATAAAATGCAAAAACACAGGTGTATTTTACTTTCACTTTCAAACTGACGATGACGAGAGACTGCATCTGCACCAGTTTAAGAATTTAAAACACCAGCAATGCCTACAACCTAACCCTAACTAGCAATGAATAGCCAATGTATCTGTTTAGTAGCAAATCTTCCTAACATGTTTTTTGTTTCTCTAGTGTGTTATTTTACACCATGTTGTGTTATAGGCCAGGTTTTAGGTTTGTTATGTTTGCTTGTTTCTGACATTTATTGTACTGAATGGAATAAATCACTTCAATATTTAAAGTTGCAAAGTGACAACAACTTACAACCAATCTCAATAATTTGTAATAATTCAAAAGCATGACAAAAACCTCCATAAAGAAATCAAATATTTAACACACAACTTCACGTTTTTGGATTGTATAGCTATAATAATTTTGCTTTTACATTGTGTGAAAGGAGGTTGTCACTAGCGTTTATTTTATACATATTCAAAATATTTCAATATACTGTAATAATTGGCATTTTACATATTAATTGTCATCATTAGAATTGCAAATGTTGATATTTGGTCATATATTTGATTTCTATTTTGACCCTCAAACAGACAATTAATCATCAATTAATCAAAATAGACAAGTAATTGCATAATCGCAATTATTCCAAGTGGGCAAACTCAGTCCTGGAGGGCCAGTTTCTGCACATTTTAGCTCCAACTCTAATCAAACACACCTGCTTATAGATTTTTAGTGATCTTCAAGACACTGATTAGCATATTTAGGTGTGTTTGATTAACGTTGGATCTAAACTGTGCAGGACACCGGCCCTCCAGGACTGAGTTTGCCCACCCCTGCTTTAGACAGTTCATCGTCAGCTAAATATTATAAATGTGACAGCAGTAATTCATTTTTTTTATTCAGATGGTGTATAATATTGCATCTTTAAATTACAAATAAAAAAAAAAAAATAAATAAAATTTTATATATATATATATATATATATATATATATATATATATATATATATATATATATATATATATATATATATATATATATAATTTTTTTTTTTTTTGAAAATGTTAATTAGCATTTAATTTTGCACTAATAAGTAGCTACATTTATGGGGACTAATAATTAATAATAATAATAATACATTTTTTAAAGGCGCCTTTCTGGCAACTCAAGGACAATACAATAAACAAGAGCAATAAAACAAGAGAAATAATAAAAAATATACACAGCAATAGTGCAGATAAAAATAAGTATTAAAAGCCATCTTAATGGCAGGTGGTGATAATAAGTGATAATAATTTATGGTGGTAGTGGTAATAGTTTATGCCAGTATTTATAGTTTTTATTTTTAGTTAAAGGGCCATGAAACCTACAAGTAAAAGTATAACATTCTTTACCTCCTATATAATTATGAAGTCATTTTTAATAAACTCACTTATGAAAAAGTTGCATTTATAAAACTTCTAATCTATTTTCATTCACTTCTAAAAATAGATGAGTCAACAGGAAGTGTATAATGTTTCAACGTTTCTTCCCTTCATCAGAATTCCCAGAAATATTTTCGACCAATCTATTTCCTCTTCCTGCTGACTTATTTTTAGGACAGAGAAAAAAACTAAAAATGCTATTCTGTACAGAAATCTCAATGATTTCCTTTTAATAACCTGATATTTCCTGGTCTTCCATCTTTTAAATCACAACCAAACCTTTATCTGTAACTATTGCTCACTTGTTTCCTGCATCACAAAAAATAATAATAATATCCAAATGTATAAATTCAATTCAATATTTGCAGCAGCACAAAGATCTTACTTTTTGTCATCTATCAGTCGGCCCAGTTGCAGACACGACTGCAGGCCGAGGGTGATCTCGGTCAACATGTCTGCCATCTTCTTCTGCATCAGCTGGTTTCTGGCGAGTGGAACTCCAAACTGGATTCTAACAGAAACAATACAGCAGGGGTCACCAACCTTTATGAAACTGAGAGCTACTTCTTGGGTAACGATTAATGTTGAGGGCTACCAGTGTGATAAACACTTCTCAAATAACAAATTTGCTCAATTTACTTTTAATTATACTTTATGTTTTTGGTAATGATTAATGATATTCATCCATGTGAAGACACTGATCATGTTAATTATTCTCACAAAAGTGATCAACAATGATTTAGCAGGGTAGGAAATACCCTGTATTTAATGTATCAATGTGCAACACTTTATTTTTATATATCTCTGCAAATATTTACATTTTTAACTGATTACTTCTATATTAGATGAAGCTTACTGGTAAGTGGCGCTATGGTGAGCTATTTTTAGAACAGGCCTGCGGGCAACACATGTGATCCTCGCGGGCTACCTGGGCACCATGTTGGTGACCCCTGCAATACAGCTTATTTTACTCTGTTAGAATCATGCACAAATTCACCATAAGGAAATTCACCTAAAGCCATTTTAAATTCAAATAAGATTGTGCTCCCAGCCTCATTTTCAAAAGAGGGCGGATCTACAAACACCTGTGCATCAGCATAGTGGCAAATTTAAAACAGGACTAATGTTATCTCTGTAAAAACAAGGCTGTCACAATTATTGTCACTTAGCAATAGGTCTATGTGTTTGTTAGATTATAGATGTTCGTTGACCTGTCCAGTGTGTACTGTCTTGTGGCATGGAAGCAGAACTCTGCGGCTCCCAGAGCTCCCCAAGCAATGCCATAACGAGCATTATTCAGACACCCAAACGGGCCCTGGTAAACATGGAAGAAAAATCAAGGCTATGTTAGCATTACTTAATGAAACACATTATGCATTGACTAAGTGGTCAGTGGAGTGTGAAATAAATAAGGACTTAATATAACGTTTCAAATTCAAAAGATGACAGCGACCATCCATAGGAAATACACTCATACTCAAATGCTTTTCTTAGAAGATAACATGGATATTATGGAGGTTCAGACATGTAGAGGAATTCATGGATCTGGAATGACATTTAGCTATTAATGACACTAATTGGAAATTATTTCAACTTTTTTACTTGGTCCTGAAATAAAAGCAGGGCTTACAATTAACTGAAGTCTTAGAGAAATGGGCTAAGATAACTGTACACACTTCAATAAAATCAATTGTTGGCAACTGTCCATTTTTATGCGTTCCTGACCAAATTATTTATTAGGTACACATTACTACCTTACACTTTATTAGGTACACCTTACTAGTACCGGGTTGGACCCATTTTTGCCTTCAGAACTGCCTTAATCCTTTGTGGCATAGATTCAACAAGGTACTGAAAATATTCCTCAGAGATTTTGGTCCGTATTGACATAACATCAAGCAGTTGCTGCAGATTTGTCCATGATGCGAGTCTCCCGTTCCACCACATCCCAGGCCATTCAAGTACAGTGAACTCATTGTCATGTTCAAGAAACCAGTCTGAGATGATTCACGCTTTATGGCATGGCGCATTATCTTGCTGGAAGTAACCACTGTGGTCATAAAGAGATGGACATGGTCAGCAACAATACTCAGGTAGGCTGTGGCGTTGGCACAATGCTTAACTGGTACTAATGGGCCCAAAGTGTGCCTAGAAAATATCCCTCACATCATTACACCACCACAACCAGCCTGAATCATTGATATAAGGCAGGATGGTTCCATGTTTTTTTTTTATGTTGTTGACTCCAAATTCTGACCCTACCATCCGAATGTCGCAGCAGAAATCGAGATGCATCAGACCAGGAAATGTTTTTCCAATCTTCTATTGTTCAGTTTTGGTGAGCCTGTGTGAACTGTAGCCTCAGTTTCCTGTTCTTAGCTGACAGGAGTGGCACCCGCTGTGGCCTTCTGCTGCTGTAGCCCATCCGCCTCAAGGTTGGACGTGTTGTGCTTTCAGAGATGCGCTTCTGCATACCTCAGTTGTAATGAGTGGCTATATGAGTTACTGTTGCCTTTCTACCAGCTGGAACCAGTCTGGTCATTCTCCTCTAACCTCTGGCATCAACAAGGCATTTACGCCTACAGAACTGCCACTCACTGGATATTTTCTCTTTTTTCGGACCATTCTCTGTAAACCCTACAGATGGTTGTGCGTGAAAATCCCAGTAGATCAGCAGCTTCTGAAATACTCAGACCAGCCCGTCTGGCACCAACAACCATGCCACTTTTAAAGTCACTTAAATCACCTTTCTTCCCCATTCTGATGCTCACTTTGAACTGCAGCAGATCGTCTTGACCATGTCTACATGCCTAAATGCATTGAGTTGCTGCCATGTGATTGGCGTTAAATTCGCATTAACGAGCAGTTGGACAGGTGTACCTAATAAAGTGACCAGCGAGTGTATATTAGCCTGTCCAGTTTGCTTAACGTAAATTTCTAAGCAGCCAATCACATGGCAGCTACTCAATGCATTTAGGAATATTTTCCAGTACCTTGTTAAATCTATGCCATGAAGGATTAAGGCAGTTCTGAAGGCAAAAGGCTGTCCAACACAGTTCTAGTAAGGTGTACCTAATAAAGTGGTCAGTGGGTAGTTCTAGGTAATGGATTATTATCATCATTAATATCCTATAGTTTGGCACAAAGCACCTAATAACACTGCAAATTCATCTATTGTTGCATACAGCAGGTCAAATTTCTAATAACAAAAAAAAAATAGGCCACAGCTCTGGTTTCTTTTATGCCAGACTTTACATCTAGTATTGATTTTACATCCATTTCTACTAATAATAAAGCCATTAAAACCTGAGCCAGTATTTTTAATGGAGTCTCATGCAGTCTTTCTCTCACTTACTGCTAGTCCTGAAGCTTTGGGCAGCAGGTTTTCCTCTGGTACTTCCACCTCATCCATGATGATCATACCAGTGGCTGAAGCCCGCAGGGAGAATTTGCCTTCAATCTTGGGGGTGGACAGACCCTTCATGCCACGCTCCAAGATGAAGCCACGAACCTTCCCATCCTCACATTTAGCCCAAACCACACAGATATCAGCCACTGGAGAGTTTGTGATCCTGAGCAAGAAATAGGGAAACAGTATAAGATTACAGAAGACACACTGAAAAAAAATTCTGTGGATTTACTCCATTATTTTAAGGCAAGCGGTTGGAAACTAATTATATAGGCTGAATTTAAACACACAAATATAGTAATGTTCAACTTAATTTGTTTGTTTAAATTCAGCCTTTATACATTTTTTGCAACCACTTACCTTAAAATAATTAAGCAGATCCAATGCTTTTTACAACTTCTGCCGTCCACAGTATGAATAATTTCACAAAATGTATGTTTTCTAAAGCACAGTAGCTTAGTATTAGTTTCAGTTCCATCATTTTACCACATTTGAATGTTTGTTTTAGTTCAGTGTATGAAATGAAGGTATCATCATCATCATCATCTCTCGTTGTTATTTCCTTTTAGTTGTTTGTTTATTTCACTTTTATTTAAAAAAAAAAATTCTGTAAAGCACTTTTGAGTCAGGTCTGAGGCTTGGTGCTATTGATGTTGAAATCATGTTACAGTAAGAAATAGGGAGCAGAGATGCACAAAGTAGGGCCTGCGGGCCAAAATTGGCCCATAGTAATAGTAACTTTGATTTGGCCCAGCATCCCATCTGAGAATGATGGGGAGGTGTTTAGGGTGAATCCCTTTGACAGAGATCGTTATTTCGATTTAAAAGTGACCCCTTGTTTCTTTTATTTCTGAGCTACAAAAAAAAAGCCAACTTAAATATTTCAATTAAATGTTGTAAATAAATCTGAGTTTTAGTGCAAATCTAGGCGAAGGCAGGAGCATGTTGACTAGCAGGGGCGTTGCTAGGGTTGAAAGGGATAAGGGGCTTAGCCCCAAAGACCCCCAATCCCCCCCCCCCCCATTAAAAAATAATGTTCTAATTCACCCCGCTAAAATACCACCACTTTCAAAAGGTAATCTACTTTTATAATAGATTTATAAATGGTTTAATAATAAATAGGGCTTTTGCGTTGACTTTTAGCAATACAATTTGAAGCTTTGTGACTTGTAACACCAAAAAGGAAAAAAATAAACATTAATTAATTATCCCACTTCTCATTTACTAGTCTGTTGTGAGCCATATCATACCTCTTGAGCCTCCTATCTTCTCTCCTGATTTGCAGTTTCTGTTTGTTTTTTGAAAATGTAATTGTCTGCATGTCTTCAAATCTAAAAAATATGATTTATTTTATATTGTGAGTTGTTATCCAATGTGATACAAAGCTACAAACAAATTAACTAAGGTGTAGTGTTGTCAAGATACTGGAATTTCTAAATTTAATACCTCGCAAAATATTGATATTCAATAGGCTACTATTTTTGACATAATAAAAATTTTATCAAAAATAGTACAAAAATAAAAATAAAGATTTATATGCTAGAAATGTGTTTACTTCGAATTTCTTTTGAGGGAGTTTTTTTTCCAGTTTTCCTCAAAATAAGGTGATGTGGGCATTGTAGCACTTTAAATGCAAGTAATGCCTGTTTCATTCATTCATTGAGCAGAATTTCCAGATATGCCTCACAAAAGTAGTAGAACAGTCCAGGAAATCCTTAATATGGATGAAGGCATCAGCTATTGCTGTAGTTGAATGAAAATAAGATCTGAATAAACATAAAAAGGCTTTAACTAATCATTTACGCGACTGCGATAATAAATGTTTATACAGTTGAAGTCAGAATTAATATTTCCCTTTGAATTTTATTTTCTTTTTTAAATATTTCCCAAATGATGTTTAACAGAGCAAGGAAATTTCCACAGTGTGTCTGAAAATATTTTGTCTTTTGAGGTAATTCTTATTCGTTTTATTTCAGCTAGAATAAAAGCAAAATTACTTTTAAAAAAAAAACCTTTTAGGGTCAAATTAATTAGCCCCTTTAAGCAAAATTTTTTCTCTGATAGTCTACAGAACAAACCATCATTATACAATAACTTGCCTAATTACCCTAACCTGCCTTTAAAGCCTTTAAATGTCACTTTAAGCTGAATAGAAGTGTCTTGAAAAATGTCTAGGCATATATTATTTATTGTCATCATGGCAAAGATAAAACAAATCAGTTATTAGAGATGAGTTATTATCACTATTATGTTTAGAAATGTGTTGAAAAAATCTGCTCTCCGTTAAACAGAAATTAGGGGATAAAATGAACAGGGGGCTAATAATTTAACTGGGGCTAATCAGACTTAAACTGTATGTCTTCTTCCAGCCATCTCAGGTATTTTCATAAGAAAGTCGATTTATAATCCCCTGCTAACTGACATAGCATGTTAAAGTAGAATGTAGCTATACAATATGCTAGATGCATGAACTCACTGTGATTTAACTATTACAGAAACAGATGTGACTGGCTATATCATATCTAGATAAATATGCCTAGATATCTATATCATATCTAGAAAGCTAGAACAATTTCCGTTTTTCTGACTAATTTGCATGTATGCATTGATATGATGCACATTTTATCCATTACAGTTATTTTATTTCACCAAAACTACACACATTTTATACTGTGGAAACAAATTTTAAGCTTCATTAGTTAGAACTATTCAGTTTCGCGAAAGAGTTACCTCATCAACTTCAGCTCTTCAAAATAATGAATAAATGAACGGCAGTGGTGGATTTTTTTTAAACATCATGTGACAACAGTGCCACTTCCACCTGCCGGTAGATACAGGTACTGCTGAACAGCTGACCCGACACAAACACTGTGTGAGGTGGAATGTGCGTGATGTACGCCGTAATTTTCAGTACTTAGATAACAAATTAAATGTTGTACACCATTATATATACTTATATATTATTTATTATATATACCTATATTTTTATTTAAGTGGAACATATTGCAAAAGATGAGGGGCTTTTGACAATACATCAGGGGCTTAAGCCCCCAAAGCCCCCCCCCTCGCAACGCCACTGTTGACTAGTGTTTTCAGCATTGAACTTATTTGAACTTATAGTGTTTTTTACATGCATTTTTTTATTTCTCTTTGCTATTTGGGCTTATTGGAACCTAATTAGAATAAAAATCTAAGTATCATCTTTTGATATGATGTACTTTTAGAGAAAAATTATGTCCATATATGTGGACTCGTGGTCCCAATTTACATAAAAAACTTACTCCCAAATTTTTTTGAATGCAAATTTAACATAGAATTTTTTTTTTGGAATTTGCTTTGACTATCAGAGAGTTAAAACAACGATTTTCCCCATTTTGGACAGTTAAAAACAGGGTTTGGGACATTTCATATGCTGGAAAACAGTTGCAGGATGACACTGTATGTCTGTAGCAAAATATAAAACATTTAAAGTATTTTATATAGCCACTTAAGAGCTAAAATGTGCTGTCCACATATGTGAACACTCAAGCCCTAGGAGGCTATAACAAGTTCATTAATAAATGTTAAAAACTAAACCGTATTAGTTAATATGATTCAAAGAAACATTTTCTAGTTATTTATAAATATTAGCAAATAAATTAAGAAATTTCCCCTGGGAAACAAATGTAATATGGTGTAATATTTTCATTTTGGTAAATATTCGGCCCACATCCCTCAATTAAGTTTGGATTTTGGCTCTTTATATGAAAACGTTTGGGCACTAAATATTTAAAGCACACATTAGGCTTCTATTCTGCCCATTGTATTTATGCTTCAAAACTCTTAAACGCAAACAAAACTTCTAGGAAATAATACTGAAGTCAAAGTAAAAATCCTTACAAAAAATATGTAATTCTGGATTGGCTCTGACATCCGGGGACTGATAGAAACTGACTATTAAAGCAATACCCTAAAAATGAAAATTCTGTTCTATGTAACTATCTCACCCTTGACTTGTTTCAAAACATTTTTTGTTGTTCTGTTGAACACAAAAGAAGATATTTTTACAAAAGCTGGATGTGGTAACCATTGACATCCATATTAGTACACTATGGAAATCAATGGCTGCCTTTTCCAAAAGTCAAACTGGTTTTGGGTGTACTATCCCTTTAAATAGATACCCCAAAAAAATTCTCTCACTATTTACTCACCCTCCAGTGGTTCCAAATCGTTACGAGTTTGATGAACACAAAAGAAGATATTTTGAAGAAAGCTGAAAACCTGTAACCATTGACTCCCATAGTAGGAAAAACAAATACAATGGAGGTCAATGGTTACAGATTTCTCGCTTTCTTCAAAATATCTTTTTGTGTGTTCAACAGAAGAAAGAAACTCATGAAGGGTGTGTAAATGATAACAGAATATTTCTTATTTTTTTAAGTCCTTAAAAAAAGCTCATAGCACCACCTTGTGGACACCTATTGTAAGTGCCTTGGAATGTTACAGTTATTTCAGTATGCATGTTTTATTTACTGAACTATACTAGTTCAGGCATTTCACTATTTTCCTAAAATTAAACCACAGTGCAATCTGTAATAATGGCCACAAGCGTGATTAATGTAGTAAAGATGATCTTAATACCTTGTCAGTTTGACCGTCTATATTTTGGTGTAGTTGGTCAGTACAAATGGACGCAGTTGTGAGGTTTATTCAGACTTTCCCAGTGTTCTAAAATGTATGCATTTCATAAAAGCAGTGCAGAACCAACCAAGTCTTGGATCCAGTGAGGGTGAAAGTGCGACTGGACGAGTTGTACTTGGCCTTGGTCTCCATGCTGCCTGGGTCACTGCCATGGTTTGGCTCAGTCAGTCCAAAACAACCCAGAATCTCTCCTTGTGCTAGACATCACATAGACAGTCTTCAGTAAATTAAATGTAATAGTTAGAAAAGATTGACAAATATATGTACTTTTACAGTACAAATATACAAGCCTATAAAAAAAAAAAAAGAAAACTTTCACTATAAATAAGGTTTCACTATTTTGTTGAATTTTTTTTTCAGGGCAAGGTTGACATTTGCATGCAATTGCTCACCTGCTAACCATTGTTTTGATATGTTTATATTGTATGTGTATACACATGCTTTTATTTATTTATTTGTAATTTTTTATATTTTTTTATTATAATTTTGTATGTTTTGTTTTCTTTAGTACATGTTAAAAGTTAAGACAGTATTTAAAAAAAAAAAGGAATTAAACATTAAAACACAATGTGAACAGATTTTTTTCTGGTGTCTTACCCAGTCTGGGCAGGTATTTCTGCTTCTGCTCCTCTGTGCCGTAAGCATTGATGGGGTGCATGACCAGGGAGGACTGCACACTCATGACCGAGCGATATCCGCTGTCCACTCGCTCCACTTCTCGAGCGATGAGGCCGTACGCCACATAACTTGTGCCAGCACAGCCGTAACCTTGATAGGAAAGTGCAAACTAGTGTTAGAAATGCAGAAAATGTATTTGAAAGTTAAGTTTTAAACTAGGGTGTAGAGTATTTATTATTTTCATCGATATCGTAGTTGCTCTTTAAACAAAGTTCAAAAGCACAATTAAGCCTGTTAGTATGCAGTTCAAACTACCTTTTTTATTTAATGAACAATGTATTTTATCAATATCACATAAGCCTGTACGCCATTTTCCAGATATCAACATGAAGAATAGGACAACCGTTCAACAAACAAGAAGGTAATTTTGAGTAAATACCATTTTAGATTAGGTATTCTACTTTTTTGCAAGTGAAAATATTTTGTTTGTGACTAAATGTGCTTTTTAATTAATTATTAGAAATCAATGATCTATTCATGAATTTGGTCACTTGCTGTTTTTATCATCTGTCAGACAAACCATTTGAATCAGCGATTTTTAATAAATCCCAAAAGACAAAAAACAAATACAGGTGGATTTTCATCTTTAACTGACACTGGGCATTTTATCACAAAAATATCACAGAAATCATCATGCTATCATTTGCCAAGCATTGCACCTCTTTACTTTCAACAAGAAAACAAACTATTTAGCATTTCCTGATTACAAATAAAAAATTGTGATTTAAAAAAAATGCACTAAAACATCATCATCATAATAAATAATTGTTATAAAAAGATTATTTAATAATAAGTAATTGTTATGATAGTATTATTTAATTATAGATAATAAATAAATAATATTATTTAATAATAATAAGAAGTAAGAAATAAAATAATTATAACAAATGCAAAACATCACAACTTTTAGTATTTTCTGAATCAAAGATGTGATTTAAAAAATACACTAAAAACAACAATAATAATAATAATTATTATTATTGTTGTTGTTATTATAGTATTTATGTAAAAATGCTGTAATGAATAAATAATATTATTTAATAATAATAAAAATAATAATCATAATAAATAAATAAATTATAATTATAACAATTACAATGGGAATAAAGCTCATTATTAAACACAATACATGTACTTTATTGTTTAGCAATTCCTGACAAGGAATCAAAAAACATGATTTAAAAATGCACTAAAACATCATTATAATAATAAATAATATAGTTATAAAAATATTAAGTTATAATCCTTGCAAGACATCACTGTAAATAAAGCTCATTATCAAACACAAATAATATATTTACAGAACAGCTGTACAATTACAACATTAAAATATTTATGGTGGACTTTCATCTGATTTTTATATTGCGCCTCAAAAACATCTTGAGCTGTTTGTGTGTAAATGAAAACTGAAAAATGAAATATCATTTCATTATGATTGACATATAATTAATTTTTATTAGTTGTGTAGTCCAGCTAGAGCATCGACTGCTAATCTGAGACAGACAGATTTACTCACTCACTCACAAAGTGTAATCCACAAATTTATATATTGTGTTCTATACTGTACATACCTTTAATGGTTGGGCCCAAAACTCCAAGTTCCCCCATCTCAGACACAATTTCACGGTGAAAAACTAATAGAGGACAGAGAGGCATTAGTTTAATAATGTTGAAGAAATTACCGTGATATAAATGTACACACACACTTTCATTTCTGTTGGCCATCAGGATGCGTGGCATGAGTTTCTCTTGGCAGTAGGTGCGAAAGGAGTCCCGGATCATGATCTCCTCCTCTGTCAGAAGACCCTCCAGATCCAGAGCGTCCCGCCAGTTAAACTGCACTTTAGCTGTGAGGTTTACATGACAGATTAGAGACTGAATAAAACAAACAAGCAAGCTGGTGATCAGCAGATAAATACACTGAAAAAGAGGTAAACCTACGTGCTTTCATTTGCTTCTTTTCTCCAGACTTCTCTGCATCTGATTGAACAAATATGTGGACATCTTTATGTTGTTATGCATAACCGAATATGTCAGCCTGGATTACAAAATAGAGTAAGAGCCAGTGTTGGGGAAAGTTACTTTTGAAAGTTATGCATTATAATATTAAGTTACTTTCCTAAAAAAGTAACTAGTTACGTTAATAAGTTACTTTTTATGGTAAGTAATGTGTTACGTTACTTTTTTGTTACTTTTTATTACCTGCTGAGGCTTGATCTCTTTCAGAACTTGCAGTTTTTTTATTATTATTTTTAATGGAGGAGTTCTGCAATTAACAGCACACTGTATAACCTACACCAGGGCTATTCAATTAGTTTGTCATGGGGGCCGGTTCATGAAAAGCTTCCCAAACGAAGGGCCGAAGAGATGTGTGTTGCTATATGAGTGATGGCACAACTACATATAAGAGCCCATATGCTGTATTTGTGCTCATAAAGACACCCAAATTGGCTTTTTCTACATTAAAATGTTAATATATTGTATTTTAAAACAACTACATTGTCCAATTAACTTTTTTTTTGTTTACAAACATTCAAAATGTTGTATTTTGTACAACAAAGCAGTGACTTGCTAAAGTAGGCTTCTTCTACATTCAGACACATTCATATGTTATGTTTTGAACTGCATAACAATTAGTGATGCAACATTATAGATTTTGGTTGTACGGTTATAATGTCTGAAGAATAATCATGCTTCACGGTTATCACATCTAATGTAATTTAGAACAACAAGCTTTATATTTGTGAAGTAGCTATTTAGATTAACTGTTGTTATCTCTACATGTCATATATACAGATTAATGAAAGTTTAAATCAGTGTGCTTGCTGCTTTTGTGCTTTTTTGTCTTATTAGTGAAGTGCAAACCCTGTAAGTACAATTCCTTTTCTTTCATGTGTTCAAAATAATGAACGCATTCTCTCATCTCAATTTTTTTTTCAAATTCAGCAATTTACTGTTAAGAAGCTAATTATTTAAATAAAGTAACTCGTGTTACATTTTTTAAAAAGTAACTCAAATATTATTACTTTATTTTTTAAAAATACTTGTTACTTAGAAAAGTAAAATTATTACGTAACTCGCAATACTTTTAATGCATTACCCCAAACACTGGTAACAGACAATGGTTAAATACATTGTATGGGTCAAAATGATATAGTTTTGTTTTATGACAAAAATCATTAGAATATAAAGTAAAGATCACGTCCCATGATGATATTTAATAAATTTTTCTATCATTGATTAGAAATAAGCACTGCTAAGCACTTTAATGCATTTTTTTTTTGTAAAATCTCGGACTGCTAATATTGGAAAAAAAAAATCACGTTGCAATACTAAGGCCGCATTTACACTGCACTAAATGCAGACGATCGGATAAGAGTCACTTTTAAAAGATGATGTAAGCAGGTCAGCAAAAAAATCGGATACAGTCACAAAATCGGAATTGACTATCAAGATCTGCAGTGTAAATGCAGCCTTAGTTTTTCTGCAGTTGAAGTCATAATAATTGGCCTCCCTGTTGTTGTTGTTTTTTCCCCTATTTCTCTTAAACAAAGAAAATAATTTTTTCAACACATTTCTAAACATAATAGTTTTAATAACTCTTTTGTAAGATCTAATTTATTTTATATTTGCCATGATGACAGTAAATAATATTTGACTCTGTTTTTAAGATATTTCTATACAGCTTAAAGTGACATTTAAATGCTTAACTGGGTTAATTAGGCAACTTATTTTATACCGATGGTTTGTTCTGTAGACACTTGAAAATAATATTGCTTAAGGGGGCTAATAATATTGACCTTAAAATAGTTTTTAAAAAAAATTACAAACTGCTTTTATTCTAGCAGAAATAAAACAAATAAATAAGACTTTCTCCAGAAGAAAAAAAATATTATAGGAAATACTGTGAACATTTGCTCTGTTCATCATTTAGGAAATATTTGCAAAAAAACAACAACAAAAATTCACAGGAAGGCAAATAATTTTTACTTCAGCTATTATTCTGCCCTGGCAATGGTGTTCAAAACCAAAGCTGACAGATAGTTAACAGAAATAAAGCACCATCACACTTTCTTCTTGCGAATGTGTAGCACTTTTACTTGATTTGCTTGTAAAACTAAAAAGGAAAAATACAAAAGGTAAAAATTACAAAGTGATTACGAAATATCACAAATAATATACATCTGTCACATTTGTAAACATAAACTGACATATTTAAACTGATATCGAACAGCTAAATAAACAATCCAGGCACTTTAATGACGTGCATCTTTTTGCAAGCTTGTTAGCATTTAAACAAAACATCAAGCATTAAACATTTCAACACTGACCCTCCTTAATCAATTTAACCCAAAGGAAGTATTGCAGATGTTTTCAAAATAAAATTTGTAACTTACAGTCGTTTCTATCACAAGGGCTGAAAGCAAACAACAACGCGTCTCTGCATGGCGATCACAGTCTCTTCTTCTATGACTTTTTAAACATCCGGTTGTTCTAAAGAATGGCGCAATGACATTTTCCGCCACTAGATGTCACAATTACACCACTTAAATAAATCAATGCACAGCTTACCAAACGAATCAACACCATACAGTACACTCCCCGCCTGGTGTATTGGATATACCACTATGCTTTTAATCACTAGATAAAAGTAAAGCTACGTCACATATAGGCCTTAAGTACTCCCTGACAGCCCCTTGCTTAGCAGTCTTTACCATAACCTTTCGGACTTTCCCATCAGATGAGGCTACGGTTTTTGTTACGAGGCCAATTGGCCACTCACTGCGCTTAGCTTCCCCATCCTTTAACAGAACAACGTCTCCTTCCTGAATGTTATCTCTCTCCTCAGTCCATTTTCTTCTGGATTGCAAGGTGGACAAGTACTCCTGCTTCCATCGCTTCCAGAATGAATCTGCTAACATCTGGACTTGACGCCACTGACTTTTGTGCAAGTGTCCTAACTCAAAGTTTCCTGGTGGAGTTGGTGCAACACTTGCTTTCTGAGTTAAGAGCATTGCTGGTGAGAGCACTTGAGGCATACTTGCATCTGTAGAAATTGGGGTTAAAGGTCGGGAATTCATAATGGCCATGACTTCTGCCATTAAGGTTGTTAAGACTTCATGTGTGAGTCTTGTAGCAGATTTTACTAAGAGCGCTTCCAGAATACGTCTGGCTATCCCGATCATTCTTTCCCACACACCCCCCATATGAGAGGAGTGTGGAGCATTGAATGTCCAAGTGCAGCTTTGATTCTGCAAGAACCCTTTTAGCTCAGAGTCACCACTGTCGATTTGGAGTTCTTTCACTGCTCCAACAAAATTCGTCCCTCTGTCTGATCGAAAGTGCTTTACTGGCCCTCTCACAGCCAAAAAACGTCTCAAAGCACAAATAAAGCTTGACGCTGATAAAGATTCCATAACTTCCAAGTGAACTGCTCTACTACTCAAGCAACTGAATATGACAGCCCATCGCTTGTTCTCAATGTTGTGCCCTCTTGTTTTGCGTGTCACCACAGTGAAAGGTCCAAAAACATCAAGACCTGTGTATGTGAAAGGTGGATCTACAGAAAGCCGGTCTGGGGGCAGAGCCGACATCTTCTGACTTTCCATTTTACCTCTTAGCTTTTTGCATAGGACACATTTGTGGATGATATTTGAAATGCGTCTTTTGCCGCTGACAATCCACAATCCAGCACTACGTATAGCGCCCTCCGTAAAATGCCGTCCTTGGTGAGCCACTTGATCATGATAATGCTGAATTAAAAGATCAGTCACATGATGGCTAGATGGAAGTATCAAGGGATGTTTCTCTGGATCTGAGATGTCAGCGCACTGAATGCGACCCCCGACTCTTAACAGACCTTCTTTGTCCACAAAGGGGTCGAGTCTAAGGAGTGTGCTACATTGTGAGATTTTACCATTCTTGGTCAGACTCTCAAATTCTTCTCGGAACACTTCTCGCTGTACAGTTTTAATTATGGTCGACTTAGCTTGTGAGGTCTCAACATCTGAGGTCTTTGTACACAAATGCCACTTTCGACAAGGACTGTTAGGTGAAGATTGTGAGAAGGATTTTGTGATGTGAGTAAGAGTTGTGACAGCTCTCACCAGAGACTTCCATCTCGAGAAACGTTGGAATCTGCTTGAGTCTAGAGACTGTTCAGTAATGCTCGTTGCCAGAACTTTCACTTGAGGGCGAATTTCAACATCCTCTTCTACTTGAACAAGTCCATAGGATTCATCCACATTACATCTCACAGGACCACATTTCCTAAGGAACTCTGGACCTGAATACCAGTTGGTTAGAGGTAAGTTGGCTGCTGGCACGAACCTAGTGGCATGGTCCGCTGGATTCTGTTCGGAACAGATGTAGTGCCACTGATTAGGTTCTGTGGCTTTCCTTATGCGTGCAACTCTGTTAGCCACATACATATAGAATCTGCGTGTGACATTGTGAATGCATCCGAGCACTATGCGGCTATCTGTATAAAAGTGGATGTCATGAAGCTCCAGGTCAATTTCTCCTTTTATGAATTCCATCAACTCCACAGCTAGCACTGCAGCGCATAACTCGAGGCGCGGAACAGTATGTGCTGGAAAGGGGGCTAACTTGGATCTTCCCATCACAAACCCCACATGAGGCTGTCCATTTGAGTCAATCACTCGAAGATATGCTACCGCAGCAATAGCTAAAGTAGAAGCATCCGAGAAAATACACAGCTCACAAAGTGGAGCTCTGCACACTGAGGTTGGAACATAAGCTCGAGGTATTTGCAATTGATCAAGCTCTGCTAACGATGAAATCCAGGCCTTCCATGAACTTTCCTTTTCCAATGGAAGAATGGTGTCCCAATCCTGTTGGATTGTTGAAAGTTCCCTCACTAGAGCTTTGCCTTGCATAGTGATTGGACAGACGAACCCGAGGGGATCATATAAACTATTGACAGTGGAAAGGATCCCTCTTCTGGTGAAGGGTTTGCATTCTTGAGAAGCTTTAAACATAAAGCAATCTGTCTTGAGGTTCCAACTGATACCAAGGCTGCGTTGAAGAGGTATTGTATCTTTACTGAAATCTAGGTCTTTGAGATCTTTGGCTCTTTCACTAGAAGGAAATGCTTCCATCACCGAAGCACTGTTGGAGGCCACTTTATGCAGGTTCAAGCTTGACTTAGATAGCATTGTCTGTGTGCGTTTTAAGAGATCAATTGCTTCCCTTTCAGTTGGAACAGACGTGATACCATCGTCCACATAGAAGTTGCGCAAGACAAAGTTCTTCGCATCTGTTCCGCACTCCACTTTGCCGTGTTCTGCTGCTTGTCTCAGGGCATATATTGCGACTGCAGGTGACGGACTATTGCCAAAGACGTGTACAGTCATTCTGTAATCAATTATCTCCTTTTCTGGGCAGTTGTCTTTGTGCCAAAGGAAGCGAAGATAGTTGCGATGCGGCTCTTTTACTTTGAAGCAATAGAACATTTGTTCTATGTCTGCCATCACAGCTATTTTCTCCCTGCGAAAGCGCAACAGTACACCCAAGAGAGTGTTGTTGAGGTCAGGACCGCTCAGCAAAACATCATTTAGGGAAACTCCCCTGAACTGGGCACTTGAATCGAAAACCACTCTTATTTTGTCAGGTTTGTGGGGGTGGTAAACACCGAAAATCGGCAAATACCAACATTCCTCCTCCGAATGTAAGGGTGGAGCCAGTTCTGCTTGTTTATGCTCGATCACCTTCTGCATGAAGTCAAAGAAATGCGTTTTCATTTTTGGTTTCTTTGAGAGAGTGCGCTGTAAAGAGCTTAGCCTCTGCATAGCTTGCTCTCTATTATTTGGGAGCTGAATCCTTGGGGAGCGGAATGGAAGTGGCGCCACCCAGTGTCTATCCTCATCAAGGTACACCTCTTTATCCATCATTTCTAGAAAGACTTTATCCTCCACAGATAGAGTGGCTTTATCGTCATCTGGAGATCTGAAGAACACATCCTCCTTTAAATTAATTGAATAGCTCTCGTTAGATTTGAGAGAACATGGTGGGTTGGGAATGTATGCCAAGAGAGGTGACTGAGCTTTTTCTACGACGTTGATGCCCTTTGTGCATGAAGGGAAATATGAAGTTCGTCCATTGAGAAGTACGTTGGTCTTATAAGCGTTCACACTTGATTGACGATGAATGCCATCAAGACAAACTTCTCCCACTATTACCCAGCCTAGGTCTAAGCGCTGTGCATATGGTGTGTTATGGGGTCCATTTCGTTGTTCACGCACTTTGTGCACACTAAGAACATCACGTCCTAAGAGGAGAAGGATAGGAGCGTTAGGATCTAAAGGTGGGATTTTATCTGACACCACAGTGAGGTGGGGAAAATGTACAGCTACCTCAGGCGTAGGAATTTCAGATCTATCGTCTGGTAAGCTGTCGCATTCTATCAAGGGTGGAAGTGCAACTACTGTTTTTCCATCAAGTGATTCAACAGAAAATCCAGTTATTTTCCTCCCCGCCGTAGACACTATGCCTGAACACGTCTTCAATGTGTACGGAGAAGAACTACTATCGATGTTGAACAGATCAAAGAACTGTGACTTCACCAAAGATCTATTACTCTGCTCATCTAGTACAGCATAAATGCGTTTGGCCTTTTCACACTGATTAGATGGATAAACTTTCACGAGACAGATCTTTGAACATGATTTAGGCTTATCAACATCTCCGCAAATCTCTGTGCACTTGTTGGTGACCTCAGCTGTGTCCTCATCTGTTTTTTTCTTTGATTTGTTCTGTCTTTGACTCAGGTGTCTCAATGGACCATGTAGTAACAGACCATGGTGCAGGTCCAGGATGCATGGCCGCCACATGTCGATCACTATTGCATTCCCGGCACCTGATCAATGCTATACAGTCTTTTGCAACATGCTTGGTGGAACCACAACATTTAAAACAAATGGACTTTTCCTTCAAGTGTGCTTTTCGTTCATCCAGATGTTTGCTCCTGAATGTTCGACACTTATGGAGTGGATGAGGCTTATTGTGCATGGTGCAGACCTTGTTTGGTTCTACATTATTTTCCAGTGTTCCTTCCTGGTTTGATTGTGCAGTCTTTATTTCTGTTTTTTTGACAAAAACAGAAGCTCTGCTACTTATCCTGGCAGCTCCATCGGCTTTTGAGCTGCTCAGACTGCTGGATGAAACAAATGCAAAACTAGGATCGTTTCTGGTTCTTGCTTGTCGACAAACAAACTCAACAAAGAACTCAAAAGGAGGAAAATGTACTTTATGGTCTTCTTTGTATCTGGAACCCTGCGTAATCCATTTGTCTTGGAGACCGAATGGGAGTTTTTCGACAATGGGGTTTACTCCACGTGCTGTGTCGAGGTAAGCTAGTCCAGGCAAACGACCACTCTCTTTTGCAGACTGCAGCTCAAGCAGCAAATCACCGAGGTCTCTCAGACGATGGATGTCTCTGTTTGTGATGCGAGGGAAAACATCAAGTCTTTTTAACATTGCCTGCTCAATGACTTCTGGACAACCATAGCATTCTTCTAGGCGACGCCATATCACTCTAACTCCTGAGGTAGGGTTACTGACATAAACTGATTTGATTCGTTTGGCATGATTAGAAGAATCAGGACCGAGCCATCTTATGAGAAGGTCAATCTCCTCCCTACTAGTTAGATTAAGTTCACTGGTTACAGCTTGAAAAGATGTTTTCCACGCCCAGTAATTTTCAGGGCATTCGTCAAACTGAAACAAACCTGAACTCACCATTTCTTTTCTCAGCAGGTATGTAGTGAAGTCACTGACATGTGGCGCTGGTGTAGAGCACCCAGCATTTTCTTGTGAGAGCGGATCGGATTCACGCTGTACTCTTACTGGATAGATTTGATGCCTCTCCTCATCATCTCCACTATATGGATCAATCTTTACTTTCGAAGGAGAGCACTGGAGGCTGTGTTGAACTGTTAGTTCCTTTTTTATAGGAATGATCTCTGATTTAGATTCCTCCTTCTTTGTGGGTGAGTGGGAGCTAAGTGAGCCTTCATTATAACTCCGTGTTACATACTGAGAATTCTCACCCTCATGTTGCAAATTAGAAATCAGATTGGGAGTATTTGGTAACTGAGATTGTGTTTGCACATACTCTCTGGTGCGTTCAATCCTGCTGGAAATGTATGAAAGTTTTTCTAGGTCTTCACCTAGTTCCTCTTCACCGATAGCTGCAGCGTCATAAACATCTGCCTCTTTAGATGCTGCTACAGCTTCTTTCTGCAGTTTCAATACATACAGTTCAGCCTCAACCTCTGCTTTTCTACGTGCTGTTTCTGCTAATGTTCTTTGTTGATGCTCTTCTAGTTGAGCTTGTTCTCTCATCATGATAGCTTCCTTTTCTGCATATGAGGCTTTTACTTTGCATGCTGCTGCTTTAGCTCTTGCTGTGGTCGCAGCTGCACTGGCTGAAGATCTAGTAGACCGATGTGATCTGCCTGACCGTGATTCTATTTCTAGTGCTTGGTTAGCTTCTTCAACATTTTTGCTGGGCTGTGACTTGTCCATCTTGATATCACAGTCTAACTCAGTAAGCTT